TCTCCGCCTCCCGGCGCGCCGCGGCGCCCGCCACTGGCTAGACGCGTCGGTCTCACGATCCTCACTTCATGCGAGGAGCCAATGGCTGGGCCGCTTGGGATTCTTTCGCGTGAGTCACAGGAGGACGGCAGCAGCGCTGGCCAATCACCGCGCCCGAAGGGAGGGGCGGGATCCTTCTCTAGCCAATCACCAGCAAGAGGAACCGGCAGGCCCTTCTCGGTGCCATCCCCACGCCGGGAGGGGCTGATTCAAAGGCCGTAGCACCTGGTGGAGTTTGGGTGACGGCCGTTCCCGCGCGTCCGTCCAGGTGAGGGTCGCGAGGAGAGGCTCCTGCGCGCGCGCGCGGGGTGACGGGGGTGTCCGGCCCGAGCTTCCGGGCTGGAGGGGAGCGGGACGCCGACACCGGTGCTTAGTGCGCAGGGTGGGCGGGTAGAGGGAGCAGAAACGGGAGGGAACGACGTGAGATTAAGTGATGATGGGCTGAATTTGCCCTTTAAGACTTTACGGCCGTCGAGAGACGGGACGAGTTAGGAGACGCTTGCGGCGCCGGGGACAGTGATGGAAGTTTTACAAGCCCAGACTGTGCGGGCGGAGACCTGCTGTGCGTGGGCGTCGTGGGAGGTTTTGTGGGGTCGGGACGGGCCTTTCGGAGCAGGTTACTGCGGGCTGGCTGGGAGCTGACCCCGACGTGACCAGCGAGCGAACGCTTTATTCCTGAGCGGAGAGGACTGAAGCGCAGAAGGGGAGGGTAGCGACTCGAATACGAAGTGCGGGGAAGTGAAAATGAGGTGTGAGGCCGGTGGACGGGCCTGGCTGGGCGGGTCTTGTGTTGCTGCGGGGGTTAATTTTTACTCACTGGAGAGAAGAGCTGCTGGAACTTTAAAGGTTTGAAGAGGGTTGGCCAGGGTCTTTAGATCTATCTTGGCATTATGTGGTAGGGTACTTTAAGGACAAACGGGGAGCCAGGACACTCCAGGAATGAGGGAACTTGTCATGAGGGTTATCTAAGGCACAGGGTTGACACTGGCTGAAGTCAGTCAGTAAACTTCAAGCCTTCTGAGAATCCACAAATAATCTCTTACTTCTAAGGCGGGCTGTTAGTTTGCCCAAGCATGAGCAAAGAAAGTGATAATTCACTATTTCTCTCCCTTCTTAGTTGAGTTCAGTTGGCAACAGTGTATTCATCTCCTCCCTTGTGTTTGGAGAGTAAAGTTCTAGATTTTTATTAAACCAAATACCTATAAATTGGGAAAAAAGTTTAAACCCTCAAGCCAGGAGGCAAAATTAAGAGAGACTCAGAGCTTTTTGAGGTGACTAACCAGGTGATGTAACTCACCAGGTTTGGATGTAAAGGGGTGGGGGGCATTTGGGCAGAGTAGTGTTGACTTTCGTGTATCTCTGTCCTAACTAATGGGAGGAATCGGAATTTCAATTCAAGGGTGGCTAGAATTAGATTTTGGCTATCAGTATACAAAGAGGAAATCCTTGAGATCACCTAAGGTAATCTGCAGTCCTTAGGGGAAGGAAAGCCAAACCAGTTCTTGTTTCTCAAAAGTGTTCCCCACGGCCCCAAAAACTGCAAAGTGCTATGTCCTTTCTCAGTTCCTAGTTGAGTCTGTATAGCTGATGTTCTTCCTGTTCATTCCCTGTTCACAGCCCGCTACGACCCTCCTTTACTTTTTAAATATGGTGACACACCCCATCCTGTCCCTCTGCCGCAGGTCTCACTTGGAGTGGCAGCTTTCTCTGGCACTCTTTCCTGTTGCTCTTTGTTCTCTTGGCTGTTTCCAGTCCTTCTATTACTGTCAGATAATTTTATGATCACCTCACTGCTTCTCTGTGTTACTCACTAGATGCTGTGTTTTGTGAAGCCAGGTGTGAGGCAGCAGCTAGCACAGCACAAGCACGAGCAAAACCAGTGATTCACCTGTGAATTCCAAGCAGCAAGGAAGGAACGAAGTATCAGATCTTCCGGACTGGTCACATGGTTGTTGGATTTGTCAGAAGAGAGCTCCAGTGTGATCTCAGCAAGAGCAAGCTCAGTGCAGTGATGAGAAATCGAGGCAGGTGGTGATGGCTGGAGAGCTAGCGGGAAAAGTGAACAGGACACCTGCATAGAAACTTAGGGGACTTGAGTGTATTTCCCTCTTATGATATTGATCATGTGTATTATTATTTATGATCATAGTATAGCAGTGGTTGAGGCTTAAGGCTTCCCAATGCCCCAGTGAGCATTTCGGTAAAAGTTGCTTAATCTTTTAAACTTCAGTTTTCATCTAGAAGATGGGTAGTAAAAGTACCTGCCTTATGAAGAGTATGGTAAGAATTAAAATCCATAGAGTTCACATGCCCTTAGAACACAGTTCTTGGCATATAAGAAGTGCTCATAATTGTTAGCTTCTTGTAGCTAATATATTTCACATGCCTCTATTCTTGACTCATCAGAAGAACTATTGTTACTCTCCCCCCTCCCCCATTATTGAGGTTTAATTGATGAAAATGTTAGGTCTAGGTGATTTGGTATACATTATGAAAAGACTTCCTACCATCAAGTTACTTTTGTTGCTCTTTATCTTTTGTCAGTGATAAAACTGAAGCTCAGAGAGGTTGCAAGACTTGCCTAAAGGCACCCAGTTTATCAGTGGCATTGAAAGATGAGGACAGTTGTTTGGATTTATAATCTCATGGGCAACCAGCTGGTGAGTGGGAAACTGGATTGCCAGGGGCTGAGTCGTGGGAGGAGAGCTCAGCTGCCAGAGGTGTTCTGGTAAGCTCTTCTTTGAGAAGGAAGTAGATTAGCTCAGAGGAATGGCCACTTGAGGGAGAGGCGACAGGTGTTCAGAAAACCTCTCAAGAAAGGAAGATTTATATTTAAACTTGAGAGACTGGACTCCCAGAGGAGGGAGAGATGAACAAAAGTAAGTGACAGGTAAAATCTTGATGAGTCAGATGAGAAAACAAGACCTCTCAGAGGAGATGGTAAGTGAGCCAAGGGAAATTTTAAACTTGGTGTGGCACAGGATGTGCCACAGGCTTCCATAGTCTGAGTCATTTGAGAATGAGTAGAACAAAGAAAGGATGCCCAGTGAACTTGGATGGCAGATGAAGTTGGCCACACTTCTAGTATCTTCTGTGAGAAGGAATGAAGTGCATTCATTTTGACTTGTGAGGTATTGGAATATTCTTCAAAGATAATGCTCATGTGTTATGATGCCTGTGGCCCCAAGTGGTCACCTGTAGCAATACCAGGTGCTAGGAAACTTTGGAAGATTTTTGTTTGCAGGCCCGTTTCTGTAGAGGTGTGAAATGGAGCTGCTGGTTTGTTTCTTGAGCATTTGCATTTCTTTTTCTGTAGATGGCCTGGGTCATCTTTTCTACTTGATTTTCAGTCACTTTCTAATGCACACTTTGCAGCCCCTTGTCACATGTTGAGAATATTTTTTCCAGTTTCTCGTTTCATCTTTGACTTTATCATTTTTGTATTCCCCAGCGAGAAAACTTCATTTTTATGTAATCTTGTTTGGCAGGCTTTTTCCCTACAGATTGGTTTGGTTTTAAATTAGTTTTAAATCCCACCACCACTTATTTAAAATGACAAATTTTTAACATGGAAACCACACTAAAGTCTTTAAAACTAGTTCACAACTCTTGATCCATTGCTGGTCTTTTAGATCCTGCTGTAGAAGGCCTGCTCGGGCTTCTCAATCCATAGTTTCAAATGGAACTGAGATACTCACATTTCCTTACTACTTGTTACTTGTAAAGACTTAGAATTTTGTTTGACTTTGTTTGCTTATTTCTTTGTATTTACAGAATTGGAGGGCGGCCTGCAGAGATTTGGAAAATGGCAGCAAATGAAAGTGTCAGCATCTTTAGCTCAGCATTCCTGGCTGTGGAATATGCAGATTCTCTTCTCCCTGAGAATCCCCTGCAAGAACCATTTAAAAATGCTTGGAACTACATGTTGAATAATTATACAAAGTTCCAGATTGCAACATGGGGATCCCTGATCGTCCATGAAGCCCTTTATTTCTTATTCTGTTTACCTGGATTTTTGTTTCAATTTATACCATACATGAAAAAGTACAAAATCCAAAAGGTGAGTGTGATATACTTGCAGTGAATTGTTACCATTATTTTCACTGAATATTTTAAAAGCAAATGTAACTTTTCAGAGACTCAAGATCAGGGCTGACCAGTAGAAATACAAGGAAGGAACATGTGATTTAAAAATCTCTAGTAAAGTACATAAAAAGACATCAGAAAATTAATTTGTATCATCTATTTGACATAGTGAATCTGTTATTTCAATAGGTATTCAGAAGTGAAATGTTTAATGAAATATTTAATATTCTTATTCTCATAACAAGTCGTCAAAATCTGGTGTGTATTTTGCACTAAATGGAGTTCCCCTCCATTTAGGCCAGAAGTATTTATATGTTCACCAGCCACTGTTGCTGTTTGCTTCCATATGGGGCTGTGCGACTCTAGATCATTATCGATCATGTTTCAAGAAAAAATTGTGAAATTGCGCTTCAGGTACATATATTTATATTATTTAAGTTTACAGATTCTACTTGGTAGACTAGCTGGACAGGAAAGTTGTGGGGATTTATGGGGATTTTGCAGCTCATCCCAACCCCAGATATCTCAGCCTCTCAGTGTACGTTAATATTCTAAGACTTTGATCAGGGCTGTTAAAGTTCTGTGTTTTCCCTAAATGTGTGGTGGTAGTTCTCTAACTATCTGTGTCACCTTAGCAAGGAGGTGGTGTTCTTCGTCATCTCTGGGTATTTGTTCTAAAGTACTAATCTTGAGAGCCTCGGTGTGAGCCAAGGTATTGAGATGTGCACGTGCCTCTTCTCAGTGTTGCAACAAAGCAGTGAACACTATTGATAAGCGCACCAATGAGCTTGCATGCTTGCCAGGAGGGAATCTGGACCAGCTTACTAGAGAGAGGTGACTTACTAGCCCTGATATACCAGACTGGAATGCAAGGACACCCAGACCTGTGGAAAGTAGACGTCTCGAGCATACTGGTCTTTGGAGGCTAATCAGTCATGGTCTGGGTGGGAGGCCATCTCTTTCTTTGTCTTGCTCAGTCTGGACGCTTCCTGACCTCTCCCAGTGTCACTTTAAGCAAGTACCAACATTGATTCTCCCTGGGCAGAGAGTGCAGGGGTCAAGTCACTACATATCTAGCAAAAGGGCTAAGGGGGAAGAAATTAAAGAGAATGGGCCCAAAGGAGAGCATCCTGTTGCCTATGACATATTGATTCCAAAATGCTTTTTAGACCAGGGCCTGCTTTGGAAAGGTAGAATCATTCTGGGAGAACACTGCCAGGTGACTGGAAGCATCAATTTACCTGGGTAATAAAGGCCTCAGCAGTTGGGGGAGGGGGTCCTGACCCTAACTTTAGCACAGCTTAGCACAATTTCTCCTCTGAAATTCCTCATAAACGAATTGAATGACCAGTGGCAGCAAAGACTGGCCAAATTATTCCTGCTATATGCTTCTTGTTTTGTTTGAAATCATTGAGTGTTAAGCCTGGGTTTGTCTAGAACAATTCCTTCACCTGTTTTAAGTAGTGATAAAAGTTGTCAGGAGGCCCTCCCTGGTGGCGCAGTGGGTTAAAGCACTGCACTGAGAAGCTAAAGCCACTTCCGCATGAGTTTGATTCCCGCCTGCCCCGGAGGTGATCCACATGGCGTGGCAGACCTCTCTTGACCCGCCCACTGCTCCCCTCAGCAGTGTACTTCGCCGATCTGCCTGTTCTGCTCCCTACTCTGTCTCGGGTGAAGCCTCTCATCCTCTGCATCTCTGGCAGTTCTGTATGTACCCCAGTTCTGTATGTACAAATAAATAAATCTTTAAAAAAAAAAAAGTTGTCAGGAGCTTAGAAACTACTGTAGAATTCATTTAGCAGAAGAAATGAATAGAATCAAGGTATTATTGAAACATTGGGAAAAATGGCCCTTCACTTGCCAGACTAAACTGATTGCAGAGGCCCATGCTAAATACTGTGATTTTTTCCTTCATAGGATAAGCCAGAAACATGGGAAGGCCAGTGGAAATGTTTTAAAGTTATTCTCTTCAATCACTTTTGTATCCAGCTCCCTTTGATTTGTGGAACCTATTATTTTACAGAATATTTCAATATTCCTTATGATTGGGAAAGAATGCCGAGATGGTATGTAATAAGTAGATGATTTTTATACTCAGTCATGATTCTGTGACCTAGTTTAGCTCTATTTAGTGTTTCTCTCTTTTAATTTGGTCAGTATTTGTATAAATAAAATACAGAATGTGAACCACTGTAGAAAGTTAAAACATTTTTGTATCTTTAATGTAATATTTTACTTCAGTTTCTTGCACAGACATTTCTGTAGCATGCTTTTTATGAAGGTGTACAGAAAGGTGCTTATGCTAAGAAAAAACATTATATTTTAACTCTAAAGTAAATTTTTAAAATGAGGGAAAAGTTTGTGAGATTTATACAAATTGTATCTGTGCAATCATATAACCTGAGTGAGCACAAGTCTTCAACTGTCTGTTCCTGATACCCAACTACATATATACCAATATAGATAGACATTTTCTACGTAATATATATTCAGCATATGAGCATGCAAACTGTGCATTTGTATATAAAATACAAGTGATGATTTGACTATTACTAGTCTTGGTTTAAGTCCTTCAGTAATAATTGCCCTTGTCTTGGACTTTGGAGTTGTTTCTTCACTCTGACTTCATATATAACAACTAGAATTGGTGTACCCCTAAGTGAGATAGTGCTACTGGGTAGCTCATAGTTTTGAGAATTTGTTGCTCAAGCTCTCCAGCTAGGTCAACCTGGTAAGTGGGTATTTGATTTCATGTAATATCTCAAGCAGCAATCCCAAGTACAAGTCTAGACTGCTTCAGTAAAAGTTGTTTCATGATCATTTCATTGTTTTTCTCTTAAAGGTACATGCTTTTGGGACAGTGCTTTCTCTGCGCAGTGATTGAGGATACCTGGCATTACTTCATCCATAGACTCTTACACCACAAAAAACTATATAGACATATTCATAAAGTACATCATGAATATCAGGTAAGTTAGAATGAGATTTAATGCACTTCTTTTTCTATTGGAGACACACATTCATCATTTCTATCCCCTCGGTTTTCTTTCCTTTGGCATAATTGTAAAGAACACCATACGCATGCAAACACAAAACTGGTTCTACAAAAGCTCGTTAGTATTGAATTTCATAGTACCTGGAGATATGAAAGGAAGATGGAGCAGGTCACCCAGATTCCCACCTTTGTGACTGAGCTCTGTCCTGACGCGGTGGGGCATCTGGCCTGCAGTTGAGGCTCCAGGGTCATGCGAGTGGGACGGGAGAACTTCTAAAACAGTTGCTGCCTTAGTTTTTGCACACTCTCACCACATTGCTAACGTACACAAAAGTAGTCTTTTTTCTCCACCCTCCTCACAACTGCTTTGATGACGTGCTGTCTGCCTGGCTGTGTCTTATGTTTTGCATGCCTCCTGTTTGTGTGGTATTCTAAATCAGACTCCCCTTTTTTTGGTAGAAATCTAGGTGTTTAAACCACAATCAGTTCAAGTCAGTTGCTTAGTGCCTCTACCTTAAACCATTAAAAACAGTAGCTCAGGTGGTTTTAAGAACACCCCTAGACATTTTGGTGTTTTGTAGGATCAGGAAGATATTTTTATTGAAAAATTCATCATTGTTTTTATATTTAAACTAGATATATAATTGCAGTACAAATGAAACAGTATGGATTTATAAAACTGCTTGCATACATAAATTAGAAGATATGTGTCAGTCAGGAATCTCCAGAGAAACAGAATTAATGGGACATACACACAAAAGAGGTTTATTTTAAGGAATTGACTCATGTATTTGTGGGGCTGGCAGGTTTGATAGTTGTAGACCAAAAGCTGGAATTCCAGTGAGTCAGTATTACGCACAATGGAATACTACTCAGCGGTCAAAAACTAAACTCATACCATTCACAGCAGCATGGATGGAGCTGAAAGGGACCATATTCGATGAAATAAGCCAGAAGGAAAAAAAATATCAGATTGTTTCACTTAAAGGAGGAATATAGGGGAAACAGATAAGGGGTCAGGGGGGAAAAGACAATACTAATAAATAAAAGAACAAAATAACAGACAACTATAAATCAGAGACATTCTGCTGGGGTGGGCAGGGAAAAGGATCAAAACAGTTGGGAAGAGCACAGAGGACGATGGTGACGGTACAGGAATAAATTGGATATATAGAAAACCTCAGTCTTTGCTTTCAAGAGCTTAACAGATTAAATGAAGCCACCTGCCCGATGGAGGGTGATTCTTGTTTACTGAGCTTAATGTCAGTCACATCTAAAAAATACCTTCACAGCAACATCTAAACTAAGGATTTTGATCATCAGTCAGGCGTTGTAGACACGCCCAGCTGACGTGTGATGTTAATCACCACAGTAATTCAAGGTGGTCTCTGTTTATTTTAGGCTCCATTTGGATTAGAAGCAGAATATGCACACCCCCTGGAAACTTTAATTCTTGGAACTGGATTTTTCATTGGAATCATGCTTCTATGTGATCATGTGATTTTACTCTGGGCATGGGTGACCGTTCGCTTGTTGGAAACTATTGATGTCCATAGGTAAGCTGAGGTTCTTACTCAAGTATAAAGGGTCATGAAATTTCTGTTGTCATGTCAGTACACTAAAAGGGGTAGTTAATCTTGTTAAGGTTGCTTTTAAGGAAGCAAAACAATCATTGGTTCAAGATAATCATAAAAGTTAAAATAATAGAGAGTTTTTTTACATTCCGGTCTATGGCTACTGTCTTTTTTTTTTTTTTGAAGATTTATTTATTTATGCATACAGAAGTGGGGTACAGGTCAGAGGTGCAGGGGTGGCAAGAGGATTCATCTGCAGAATAGGCACATCTATGAGGTATACTGCTGAGGGGAGCAGCGGGTAGGTCAGGAGAGGTGTGCTGCGCCATGTGGTCACCTCTGGGGCAGGGATCGAACTCATGCTGAAGTAGCTTTAGCTTCTCAGTGCTGTGCTTTAACGTACTGCACCACCAGGGAGGGCCCGGCTACTGTCATTTTTATAGTAAGAATATATAGTAATGTATTATTTGATCAAATGAAATAAAATTTTGATAATTACTACAACATGATCCTCCAGCAGGGTCTGTATTTAGTTTACCCATCATTTTCTTTATGGCTTGGGGCTTTCTGAAACACTGTGTGGGTGAAAATATTTGAATTATCTTAACATTTTGCTAAGTGAAATAGCATAATTCAGGACCAACACTTATATCCTCTGATGAACCAAAACATAACTTTTACTTGGAAATAAATGATGAAAAATTCCACCTTCACTGACTTTTCTAACACGATGAAAGCGCTCTTTGTAATACATATTTTTCACATGCTTGCTTCTGATTGGAATACATTTTGTGGTAAATGATTTCTGTTGAATGCCTTTTAAAATGCCCAGTTGTCCTAATTGTTCATTATTTTAAAACCATTCTATATTTGTTGCATTTTGACCTGGGACTTACCACTATATCAATGAAAACAGAATAATACATTGTAGGAATTAGTTTGAAACCAATGAAGGAGAAAAATTAGTGCTTCCAGTCCTAGACAGAGAATATACTAGATAAGTTAGGTCCTACTCATTCTTTCTTTCCTTCCATTTTTCATTTTTCTTTTCTTCCCTCTAAGTCTCCTAAAGGGATGGAGAAATGGGGGTGATTTGGGCCAGTATTGTGGCAACTGGGTCTTAAATTTCTGGCTCTAAATAAGCAGGACACATGGGACTCTGAAATCATATAGTGCCTCCCGCCTGCACTATAGAAAGCATGCTGGTATTTAATTAATCATGAGACATTTAATTCTAGCTTGTCATTGTCAGAAAAGTAATAGAAGTTCTACACAGTGATTCTTTTATGTAACCTTCTTCATGCTTGATACTAATTTCATATAACTTTTCCTAAAAGACATGTAGTATGAACATTATAGACTATGGTGAGAAAGCATGAAATAGAAAAGTAATTCTTGAAAATCTGTGTCTTAAAGATTCATCACTTTGACACCCTTGCCTATCCCCTGAAGATTCATTGGTAGGTAGATATAAAGTGTGTAATTTCCATAGATATTTCAAGATTAAAAATCTGTAAAGTGGTTTCTTCAGTATGTACCATTTCACCTAAGTTTTTGTCTTTTGTAAACATGTCAGAAATAAAGTGACATAGGTACAGTAGAAAGTTACTTGAATTTGTTAGTGAACATATGACTATCAATAAAAATGTCAGTTGAGGTGTTCTGATTTCTCTCCTTTAATGATCATCTATATCATTCTCATTTCAGTGGCTACTATATTCCGATCAACCCTTTAAACCTCATCCCTTTCTACGCTGGTTCTCGGCATCATGATTTTCACCACATGAACTTCGTAGGAAACTACGCCTCAACATTTACGTGGTGGGATAAACTTCTTGGAACAGAATCTCAATATGCTGCCTACAAAGAAAAGATGAAGAAGCTTGAGAAAAAGACTGAGTAAATATTTCATATAAACCTTTCTGAAGATTTTCCTGACTCAAAAAGCTAGTAGCTAACATTGCTTCTGGGGATCAGAAATAAGCATGTGTGTTGGCTGCTAAGTGATTAGAAGACCATTAATTATCTTTAATTATCTTCCTAGTGGGAACTTTTTCTACTTTACATACAAGTTCTGTATGTGTAGAAATAAGCAAATATTTAAGTATAATTTTCATGAGCCTTTTTTAAAGACCAGGTTGCTGACCTTATCAAAAGGCTTTAAGTAATGAAAGAAGTATTAATCTGTCCTTCCCACCAGTAATACAACAGGCCTAGTATTGAATTTGGTCTTGAAGTCTTAAATATAGAGTGGTCCAAACACTTAGAAGTGTGTTGACCTCATATTGAATTTCAAATATTTTTTGAATTTGCTTAAAGATCAGAATACCATGGTCGAGTGAAGTCAGTTGATAGTGTGAGTGAGGCCCTGGCCCAGGGGAGCTGGCACCAGGAATAACCACTCTTGTCTGGGGCTGACCAATTCAGAGTGATTCTCTTTCTTGAAGAAATCCTTTTTGATCACAGCGTACTACTGGCATCTATAAATTAAGGCATTTTTGTGCCCATCTGAGTGAAGTATTTTCAAAGTCAAATGGTTTTCGGGTTACTTGAATTTTTTGAAATATGGAGCTTTATTTACCCTTTCATTTATATATATCAAGTTACATTATACTTAAAGCTGTGTCTTGGAATTTTGTGAACTGACTTGGTATCTTTGCACTTGGAGCTGTTAAAATAAATGATTTTTGTCTGATTATTTGGTTTCCAGTTTTGAACATCAGCTGCCACCTTTTAGTCTTACAAGGATAACTGTGGAAATCCTTAAGTGATTAAGTCTTGGGGGGAAGTGTTTTTAAGTGTTTCATAGCGAAATGTTTTTTGCAGCTTCAATATTTATTTTATTTCCAGTATTACATTTGGGTATTGTGAGAAATTCCATTGACCTAAGACAGTGGAGGATATCAAAGTAGCTCTTCCTCTGCTTAGAAAAATGTGTATTTTCTGTTCCAGAGGGAAAAATAGAACTAAAGTTTATAGGGCTGGTTGGATCTCCAGTTGGTAGATTCTAACTCAGGGGTTGATAATTCTTGCTATATGGTGATACCAAATTGCTATTTTTAAAAACATGGAGCAAATTTCTGATGTCGTTTTTTTTTTTTTTGAAAACTTAATTCAGTAAAGAAGTTCTGATCAGTATTCAAGAAGATAGAACTGACAGTTTTTGCTGGCACATTTTCTAACTTGTTTCTGATTCATATGGTCCTTTTCATTCTCCCTTTCCGCAAGTGCATGTGTCTCATTAGTGCATGACGGAGGGGTGCCCAAACTTAAGGGGTGCTTGCTCAGAAAGGGACCTGGCCACTTGCGTGCACAAAGGCAAAGGAAACACACCTTTGTCTGAAAGATCTTTGGTAGAATTGGTGTGCGTAGGGAGAAGAAAGGATTTCAAACAACAGCAAACTCTGAAGATTATGCATCCTCTCGCTGGTAAGTGCCCAACCAAAGAGGCTTGCCCCAAAGCCAGACCTGAGGCCTGAAATTTTGCCACAAGAAAAACATAAGGCAGGTCCAGAGAACTGGGACAGAAGGAGAAAGAAAATTCAAAATAAATCTCAGAGTCCACAGTGTGTCTGCTGAGGACTAAGAATCGTCTCCTTGTGTGTCTCTCTCCTCAATGTATCTACATATCTCTCTTCCATGTGTGTATTTAACGAACATGTTAGCTTTTCTCATATAACAGTTTGGGCACTGTACTTAAAGTGGTGATGTTTAATTTAAAAATACCTGTAGCAGTTTTTTTTGTCTACTTTTCTCTCTACCGAATACTGAGGAATGCGTAGAAATCTTAGTGAAAGGTGACTCCCTTTCAGTATATGGAGAGAGTGACATCTACTGTTGGAAGTGGTGCTAGACATTTTAGCACATTCTAATTCACTGTTTGCTAGTTCACTTCCCTGAGCACTTGCTGTGCAACTTGAGTTACGCTGTGCGTTTTCATTGCATGATCCCATTTAAGCCTGACGTAAATGGTGTTTTCTACAGTTATAGGTGAGGGAATTGTCTGAAAGAGGTTATGTTACTCAAGATCACAGCCAGTGTTTCTACTTCGGAAGCCATTTTTGTTGCTACTAGGATCACTACAATAGAGACTTTTCACAAACAGCAAGCAACGTTTCACTTACGTGTATAATCTTTTAAAAGAGGAGAGATATTTGAAAGTGTTAGCCATTTGCCACTCAGAAAGTGGTTAGACTCATAACTTTTTTTTTTTTAGGATTTATTTATCAATGCATACAGGACTGGTGATCAGGCCAGAGGTACAGGGGCGGTGAGAGGATTCACCAGAGACAGAGTGGGGAGCAGAACAGACCAACTGACAAAGTACACTGCTGAGGGGAGCAGTGGGTTGGTCAGGAGAGGTCTGCCACGCCTTGTGGATCACCTCTGGGATAGGCGGGTATTGAACTCATGTTGCAGTGGCTTTAGCTTCTTAGTGCTGTGCTTTAACCGGCTGTGCCACCAGGGAGGGCCCCAGACTTCTTTTTAAATTACCTGAACTAAGATTCTGTCTTTTAGCACTCAACAGTGAGATGAAGATAAATGGGAAGAATACAAAAGTCCACAGTACATTTGATTGTACTCTGGGGAATAACGGAAGAGCTTCCTTTGTTTCTTCAGTTATCTGGGATTTTACTAAAGTAGGAATTTGCAAACTTGACTTGACATGTGCTTAAGAATTACCTATAAGTGCCCTCCCAGGTGGCGCAGCGGGTTAAAGCATGAGTTTGATTCCCGCCTGCCCCGGAGGAGACCACATGGCGCGGCAGACCTCTCCTGACCTGCCCGCTGCTCCCTTCAGCAGTGTCCTTCGTTGATCTGCCTGTTCTGCTCCCCACTCTGTCCCTGGTGAATCCTCTCACCCTCCGCATCTCTGGCCTGTACCCCAGTTCTGTATGAATAAATAAATCTTTAAAAAATAAAAATTAAAAATGAATTACCTGTAATGCCATGTTTACATTTTTTTTTCCTGTGTATTCTGGTTAAAGGCCTTTGTTCCTTTAGAAAGGGATGAGTCTCTTATTAAATACCACAGACCCAGCCAGCACCTGAGTATTAACTCTTATAAAATGCAGGGTTCTGATTTCCATGCTTAAGTTCATGTCCCTGGGCTGGCAAAGGCGGTGTCTGAGTTCTTCAGGAGTGAGCTGTCAGGGTTGTGGCTCCGTCTCTGAGGATTTAATACCTCGTGAACATTTACTGGCAAATGGGTACTCTGGGAGGTGCTAAGAATCACCAGGGTATTGTGATGAAATGTTTTTGTGATACATACTGATCCTGAATGCTGCAAAGAAGCCTCGTGTCTAGGATATGAAGTCTTTAACTTTTCAAGAAGAGAGAAGCAGCAGGTAGGGTGGATCAGGCTCCAAGCCTCTGCAGGGAGGGCCTGTGGAAGAGAACCAGCCAGCACGCCAAGCGCAAGAGCTGCTCCCCCTAACTGCAGGGCGCCCTCCTTTGCATTATCAGACTCCTTTGCTTCAGACAACTGGAGAGCCTCTTCCTCTAAGCCTGTCTCTTCATCTACAAAGTGAAGCTATGGGTAGCCCCCATTTATTTGAAAGTTCTGCTTACACCACCTTTATGAAAGAGGTCAGTACCTATTTCTACCAAGAGGAAGAAAACCAATAAAAGGATTTTCACTTTTACAACATAAATGAAAATGGAAACGTTGGTTTTCAGCAGTTGTTCCAGAGGGGCCCGCAAGCGCCTGCCCGGAATGGCTTCGGAGGGGTGGGTGTGTCACGTCACTCCTGCGTTTACTGCATGTGCCTGCTGCTCTAGCCTTTATGTGTTATTTGGTAGGATTTGGTAGGTTATTCGGGGGTCTGGAAAGGCTCCAAATGCTTCCATATAAATGAACGAAAATTGCTTGCTTCTCACTTTAAGCCATTTCTACTCAGGAAAGTTCTACCTGTAATGACCTTTCCTAGAGCTTTGTGAGGATAAAGTAAGGTGCTCAGGCACCAAGCCAGTCTTCTCAGACTTTGCTTTTTCTGTATGTTGGTTCTAGAGTCTCTAAAGAAGATGTTTCCTGTCTCTGTTGAGGGAGAATGTGCAGACATCCTCGGTCTGGGGGTGGAGTCTGACCTTTTACATTCACATGGTTTCCCTCTGCATTTCTGTTTCTATATCTGAGTCCACATTTCTCCACTTACTCAAGACACCAGTCAAATTGGATTGGTACCCATCGTCATGACCTCGCCTCAACTAGATCTTCTGCAAAGTCATTTCCGAGTAAGTTCACAGTCACAGGTCCTAGTAGTTAGGACTTCAATATTGGAGGGCAGAGAGGACACATGATTCAACCTGCAAGAAACTGTGGCTATTATTTTCCCTGATTCTAAACAGAAGAGCAGACACCCTATAATCCTGACTATTTCTAAAGAAGCCAACACATTCTCTCTCTAAAACTAATTTTATATAAAATAACTACAGAGAAGATACTTTTCTACTTCCTCTGAGGTTGAATATTTACCTGGAAGGATCGGAGGGTTCCCACAGTTGCTGAAGAAGTTTCAGAAAGCTGTGTTCTTTGGTGGCCTTAAAAGTCACTTAATCGGCCCTCCCTGGTGGTGCAATGGGTTAACGCGCAGCTACTTCTGAAGAAGTTCAGTCCCCAGCCAGGGGGTGATCCACATGGCCCAGCAGACCTTTCCTGACCTGCCCGCTGCTTTCCTCAGCAGTGTTCTTCATCAGTCGGCCTGTTCTGCTGCACTCTGTCTCTGGTGAATCCTTTTACCATACCTGCACGTCTGGTCTGTCCCCTAGTTCTGTATGCATAAATAAATCTTTAAAAAAAAAAGTCATGTAGACCCTCCCTGGTGGCGCAGCAGGTTAAAGCACAGCACTAAGAAGCTAAAGCCACTTCAGCATGAGTTCGATCCTCACCTTGGAGGTGACCACATGGCGTGGCAGACCTCTCCTGACCCACCCACTGCTCCCCTCATCAGTGTACTTCCTTGATCTGCCTGTTCTGCTCCCCCACTCTGTCTCTGGTGAAGCCTCTCGCAGCCCCTGAGCCTCTGGCCTGTACCCCACTCCTGTATGTGTAAATAAATAAATCTTTAAAAAAAAATCATTTAATCATCTTAGATTTGAATTTTTTTTTTTAAATAGACATGTAAAAGACTGGAACCCGCAGCACAGTCTGTTAGGCAGCAGCAAACTTGTCCTATTTTTATTTATTTATTTATTTAACTTTTTTAAAGATTTATTTGTGCACACAGAAATGGGATACAGGCCAGAGGCTCAGGGGCCGTTAGAGGCTTCACCAGAGACAGAGTGGGGAGCAGAACAGGCAGATCGACGAAGTACACTGCTGAGGGGAGCAGCAGGCAGGTCAGGAGAGGTCTGCCACGCCATGTGGTCACCTCCGGGACAAGCGGGAATCGAACTCATGTGGAAGTGGCTTTCGCTTCTCAGTGCTGTGCTTTAACCCGCTGAGCCACCAGGGCGGGCCCTATTTTTTTAATTAATTAATTAATTAATTAATTAATTAATTAATTAATTAATGTTTGTTTTTATTTTAATTTTATTTTTTTTTGTTTGAAGCTCTGAGGCCCCAGGAAACGAACAGGGGCAGCTCAGACCTGGCTGGGTTTGCAGTCTGCCCCTGCTGCTTGCGGTCTGGTCTGTGTGTGCAGCCTTGGGCTCCTTACTCAACAGTCTTGACTTCTCTGTCTATCAGATGGGAATTGG